TCAATATTTGGAATATGAAAGTAACGAATATGTGGTAGGCATTGTTGTAAAGTAGTTTTTAACGTGAGAAAATTTTCCTTCGTCCAACCTCCAAGGTTTGTAGGGAGAGTAGGATTCTGAGCAATTCCCCACTTAATGACATGGTCCCAAATTTCATCTTCTTTCATTTGCAAATTATCTCGCTTGAGAAGAGATACTAGTATAGATTCTGGAAGAGAAATGAAGTCTGAATCAAAAATAAGATTTGGATGATTGACTATAATATCATTGCAAAAATTTCCTAAATCTTTAAAGTGTTGTTTGTCTAAAATATATTGATAAACTAAAGAAAAATGTGTTTTCAACCAAGAAGCCTTATCTTCAATAAGAATAGTTTCTAGTTTTTTGGACAAGTCCTCAAGTTCAAATTTATTAGCTGCTAGCATTAGGTCAAAAATAAATCTAGTTTCGACTTTATCTAAGTTAACAATACCACCATAAATATACCTACATAAATAAATTAAATAATTATAATTAATAATTATGCAGATATATTTTGTAAAATAATTATAATGTAACTTACTTAAGAATAATGTCAAGAATCTCATTAGAAATATTTGGTTTAATTATTGTTTTGATATTATTTTCGCCGGAAAGAATGTTTTCAAATTCTTTACGAAAATAAAGTGATCGATATTTCAATATGTTCGAGTGAGCGGTATAAGTTTTCTTATCTTTAGTTTCGATAATTACATTGTGATTATTTTTGTCATTGAGAAGGAGTTCAGTGAAATTCTGAGATAATTTATCAAAAAACTGGTATGATATTTTTCTTTTTTGTAAATTTGGTAAAACAGAAGTGAAATACATCTTCTTATTTGCATTTCTTATTGGTGACATGACAGAAGGCAAATATTTGAACATTTTGAACATTTGAAATTTCTTTAGTGTTGAGTTGATTGAGTAATTTTAAATCAGATAATCCTTATCTCTATTGGTCCATAATCAAACAGGTGATCAGAAATATATGACAAATATCTGGTGACAAATATGGTTTTCAACCATAAAAATAATAAAAATCATTTTCGAACGGGGATGAAAAATTTCAGGTGATACTGGATAATACCTAACTTGACTTCAGAATCACAAGAATCGTAAATCATTGCATTTAAAGATTAAAAAAAATAAAAAGATATTTTTTTATAAGTTGTCTGACAATACTTCTATTGGACATATTATTTGGGTATTTGGCATATTAGATTTAAGGTTGTGTTGTATCACAAATGACATAAAATTATTTTCTAAGACTAATCTCTATTAGCGAGACAGTTTGATATAATATTTACGATATCACTATCTGTTAATTCAGAAAAATTGGCTACGGTAAAAGAACTGATCCGAAAAATTCTATCTATATCAATTTCATTAAATATTCGATATGATCCTTGTCTTACACATTCCTCTACGTACCAAGATTGGGATTTTCATGAGAAATTTGGTTTTCTACTTCGCTATTAAGAGCTTCTTGTGAATTATGACGATTATTATACTGCAATGGCACCTCTAATCGACTGAAAGAATTACCCAATTGAAAATAAGTTATTAAGGCAAAGTGGTTGGCGTAATTTGCATGCACTTCAGCATTTTCAGTCTCATAACATAGAAAATATACACGGTTAAGATATTCACTAAAGATGTCAAATGTTACCACCCCGTCTTGAAAAATTATGCCCTTTTCATGATTAAAATCGAGTTGATTTGTAATGCTTTAAGTGGACTTTGGCAATCTGTATTCAAATTTTGAATAAGTAGTCTATTTGCACAATGATTTCTCTACGAATATTTCGACGTCTAGTGTTGCGAGACAGATTTAGTGGATCCTAGTGTTTGTGAGGACATTGCTTCAACTAAATTATCGTACGTAGGGGGGACTATTAATAGTTACTTCTTGAGGAGATATATCAGATCGAGAATTTGTGATAATGAGTGTTATGAGTTACTTCGATTAAGCTATTTGTAGGACTATTCATCTCTTCTCCAAAAAGGTTAAAATCATTTCCGCTTGCAACTTCAACATCTTCAATTAGTTGTGGTCCAGATATTTCAAAACTCATTGGTGAGCCTGGTATTGGGATACAACGATTAGGGTAATATCTCTCTTTCGTAATGCATTTAAAGTGAAACATATGTCCACAGATACAGTAAGTCCTATACATGGTGTTTTTAGAGTAAGCTCACTAAACATATAGTGGATTATATATACTCTATATTGCTGGGTTTGAGTTGAGACAAATTATATGGTCGCATTTGAGGAATCCATCAATTTACTTGACGGCACATTAACATGTGCAAATAAATGTGACACATCTTTAGAATTTTCTAATGTCAAAATCATTGAAAACAATTTATTGAGCCCAGTTCTGATATAGAAGTGAGTGGATTGAAATTTTTGCAATCGTACTATACTGTTTTACTACATTATCCAAATTTGATTTGAAACTTTTATAATAACTATTGTACCAGAATGACCATGGCATATATTCAAAAAGTTGAGTATCGAATCCATCTCTACGTGCTTGTAATACGATCAACCCAGGAGGAAATTTCATCAGAAATAGTTCCTTTACAGAATAGATCTTGCAAAGAATTTTCTTGTATCGTTCAAATCATCCTCGTCAAGAATATGAAAACATCAAGCATTGATTGTATGGCAAAGTCAAGTATGTATAATATATATTATTCAATGTTTACGCTTTGAAATACATTTTGTTTCAATACTGATTTTAGTTCTAAATTTTCAAAAAAATTTTAATACCATATCAATGAAGACATGATAAAATTAAGTAACTTGGTTTTACATGAAGTAAGCTCTTCAAAAGAACTTCAAACACAATCTGAAAATATTTGTGTTAAAAATTTAATATAGTTCATACTGATATTTATATTTGTTATATGTAAGCGAAAATACCATATTAATTAATATGTTTACGAAAGAAACACTAAATAATAAATTTAATTATAGCAAATAAAATATAAAGTTTTATTATTTAATAGACAAAAAAATAATCTGGTGACTCTCTTATAGATTTTTTATAATGAGTGAAATAAGTTTTACAGTTATTTTGACCATCTAAAATAAAATTAGATTTATCACTATGCAAACTAAAGCCATATCCAAAATAAGGACCATAAACTTTTTGATCATTTTTGCCTCTATAACAAATTGCACGTTCAGTATTTACTATGAATTTTGAAGATTCCCATCAGTTTTTTAACTTTTGTCACAACAACTGTAAAAGCGTGACCATGGCAGATGTTCAAAATGTCTAGTCTCACAAAAAAATCAAGATAAAAAATCTAAAAAAATACTGATAATGCAATAAATATGCAGGCGCAGACGAAAGGAATTAATAGATAATCTGTTAACTCATCTATATTTTCATGTAGATTATTTTTTGTTGAATGAATAATGCGCTCTTTCCGACTGGAAATTTCTGCAGTATAATCTTCAGAAGTTACAGTTGAAAAAGGTTCTTTCGATTCTGTAATCGAAACTGATCTTGCTGGTAAAATAATCGATTTTACTGGTCGGTCGGGAGCAAATGAATGCTGTATAATGTCTTCCCAAAGTTGTTGGTCAAGAATTTTTTCATAAGGTCTAATTTTGTCATAGATTTCAATATTTGGAATATGAAAGTAACGAATATGTGGTAGGCATTGTTGTAAAGTAGTTTTTAACGTGAGAAAATTTTCTTTCGTCCAATCTCCAAGGTCTGTAGGGAGAGTAGGATTCTGAGCAATTCCCCACTTAATGACATGGTCCCAAATTTCAACTTCTTTCATTTGCAAATTATCTCGCTTGAGAAGAGATACTAGTACAGATTCTGGAAGAGAAGCGACATCTGAATCATAAATAAGATTTGGATGATTGACTATAATATCATTACAAAAATTTCCTAAATCTTTAAAGTTTTGTTTGTCTAAAATAGATTGATAAACTAAAGAAAAATGTGTTTTCAACCAAGAAGCCTTATCTTCAATAAGAATAGTTTCTAGTTTTTTGGACAAGTCCTCAAGTTCAAATTTATTAGCTGCTAACATTAGGTCAAAAATAAATCTAGTTTCGACTTTATCTAAGTCAACAATACCACCATAAATATACCTACATATAAAAATTAAATAATTATAATTAATAATTATGCGGATATATTTTGTAAAATAATTATAATGTAACTTACTTAAGAATAATATCAAGAATCTCATTAGAAATATTTGGTTTAATTATTGTTTTGATATTGTTTTCGCCGGAAATAATGTTTTCAAATTCTTTACGAAAATAAAGTGATCGATATTTCAATATGTTCGAGTGAGCGGTATAAGTTTTCTTATCTTTAGTTTCGATAATTACATTGTGATTATTTTTGTCATTGAGAAGGAGTTCAGTGAAATTCTGAGATAATTTATCAAAAAACTGGTATGATATTTTTCTTTTTTGTAAATTTGGTAAAACAGAAGTGAAATACATCTTCTTATTTGCATTTCTTATAGGTGACGCGACAGAAGGCAAATATTTGAGCATTTTGAACATTTGAAGGGACATTTTCTTTAGTATTGAGTTAAAGTTGATCGAAGAATTGCAAAAAATGGTAAATTTTTTATTGGTCTACAATCAAACAGGTGATCAGAAATATTTGACAAATAACAGGTGATAATTATGGTTTCATAACAAAACTTAGATATTTATCAAAAATCGATATTTGAATGGTTATTAATACACTAAACCAATGTCTAAACATATGTGGTGTAAAAAAATTTCTGGTAACACCTTCAGAGCACGTATCGTGGTATTTGAAAATTGAAAAAATGTAAAGATATTTTATTATGTGTTTTTTGTCAGACATTTAATACGAAGCTTATTTGACATATTGGATTTAAGGTTATGATGCAAGTATAAATGACAAAATTATTTTCTACGACTAATCTCTATTATTGTGACAGCTTGATAAAATAATAAAAATATCATTATCTGTTAAATTAGAAAAATTGGCTACCTGAAAAATTCTATCTATTAGGATTTTCATGAGGAATTTTGTTTTCTACTTTGCCATTAAGAGCTTCTTGTGAACCATGACGATTATTATGCTAAAAGCATCTCAATCGTTTCGAAAGAATTATCCAATTTGAAAATTAGTTATTATGGCTAAGTGTTGGCGTAATTTACATTTCCAGTCTCATTATATAGAGCATATACTCGGTTAAAATATTCACTAAAGGTGTCAAGCGTTGCCAATCCACCTTCATGATTAAAATTTGAACGATATTAAGTTGATTTGTAATGCTCTAAGTGACCTTTGGCCATCTGTATTCAAATCCTAAATAAGTAGTCTAACTATTTGCGCTAAGTTTTCTCTACAACTATTTCGACGTCTAGTGATTTGTGGATCAAGTGCTTGTGAGGGCTTCAGCTAGATTATTGGACTTAGCTATATGTGGGGTTTCTGAATTACGCCAGATCGAGAAGTTGTGATAATGGTTATGGTATTTATTACCAGTTGGTCATGAGTTACTTTGGTTAGGCTATTCGTAGGTCTATTCATCTCTTCTGCAACTTCAGCATCTTCCATAGGTTATGGTCCAGATATTTCAAACTCATTAGATAAGTCTGGTATTGGAATACGACAATTAGGGTATCTCATATTCTTTTATAATACATTTGAAGTAAAATATATGTCCACAGGTAAGTCATGTACATGGTGTAAGCTCACCTAAGCACATAGTACAAGAATCGGATTCTATATGCTCTGTATTTGCTGGTTATAAGTTGGGGGCTTGCGTGAAAATAGTTCTTAAGAGGAATACATCGAAAAAGTGACAAATGGTTCATAAAATATCTAAAATGGGATATTTATATTTGTCAATGTGTAAGTGAAATTACTTCAAATTTTATAATGTTAAGTTAAGAAAACATTATATGTTCACGAAAGAAACACTAAATTATAAATTTATTAACAGGTAAATTTAAGCAAATAAAATTGCAAAGTCTTTATTATTTGATCGATACAAATATTATAAAAAAAAAGGTTTCATTGTTTAAATACTTCATAATTATCAATAGAGAAGTTACTCGATGACTCTCCTATAGGTTTTTCATAATGACTGAAATAAAATTCACAGCTAGATTCATAACTAAAATTATATCCAAAATGTGGACCATAATAATTTAGATAACATGAATTACGAATTGCATATTGGGTATTTTTTACTCTGCTAAGGATTTAATTTTGAAGATTCCCATTTTTAATGAGTCAATGAAACTATCTTTTGTTTCCACCCATCGACTTTCAATATTAATATCATCCCATGCTAAAGGATTACAGCCTCCAATAAGTTCATCAGTTCCTTTAACTTTCGTCACAACAAATGTTCGAGCGTGGCCACGGTTTATGTTCTAAAATGTTTGTGGAGCGAGCCCATCTCTAGTCCCACGAAAAATTAATTCAAACTTACAGGGATTATTTGTTGTTGAATAAATAGCACGATCGATCCAACTAGAAATTTCTGCAGTATGATCTTCAGAAATGATA